AAAATGGGTGCAATCACTTCGGGAGCTAGTTCGGCATCACCTAGTACAGCGGAGTAGGTGCCTATTCTATGACCCACCCATTTCACTGGTGGCTGCAAACCAGAGTAGTTCTCCAATTCCTTGGTCTTGGGACCCCTTTTACATTCTTAAAAATAACTGAGGACTCTAATGAGTTTATATGAGTTATATTTACCAGTAGTTAGTTATTAGGTATTAAAACCGAGAAAATTTTTAAACATAAGGACACACAAGCACACATTCCATCAGCTGTCAGACCAATGATGACATCATCACATGCCACGTAACCTCTGGAAAACATTATTGTATGCTTGTGAGAGAATGACAGTGAAAAAGGAAAAGAGTTACTATGAACAGTTTTGACCTTTCAAGATTCTTGAAATGCTCTCAAGGAACTATATAGTTCCTAGACCAACTTGGAGAACCACTGCCCTAGAGAAAGTCTAGGCACCAGACATGTAGAAGAATGTTTATAGAAGCACTGTACCTAATCGCAAAATCTAGAAGGGACCCCAAATCCACCAACTGGTATTTTCATTCCCTGAACTACAACACAGCTATAAAATGGAATCGATTATGGTTATATTTGACAACATCAACGACTCTTGAGTAAGAGAAGCAAGGCATGGAAAAATCTATTCAGCTTTTATTTCAAGTTCAAAAACAGTAAATTTAATAAAGCACTTGTGAGGAAGCTGTCATAGGTGATGAAGCTCATGAAAAGCAAGAATGAGTAACAGCAACTGCAGGACAAGCGGCTGCCCGTGAATGGCAGGGATACCCAGAAAGTCCTATTTCTTTGTCTGAGTGGTGAGTACATGGCTGTTTATTTTATTCATGTTTTATACATTTGGTACATAAAATATATTTCAAAATCAAGAAAAGAAGCCAAGACAAAACAAAAATTAAATGATTAGAAACAGTTATTGGATGAGAGAAAATTATTTAACTTAATGGCAATGGAAGAAACCACAAAGGAGTGAAATTCAAAAAATGAAAAATACCCAAGTGATATAAACAAAAAAAGCCCAAACCAATTTTAAAAGCCATACTAATGAAAAAAAATTAACTACAAATGGAAGTAAACATATGAAAAGAAGCTGACTCTCACTAGCAATCAAATGTAAACTAATACAAAGAAGCACGAGCCAAGAACTGAATATTAAGTGGTAATGGAAAACGTTGTTTACTTCATAATATGGGGAGATAAGATCATGTCAATAAAAATGCAACACATAAAACTACATACAGAACGGTCTTTAACTACTTTTTTTAATGTACAGAAAAAAAGCATCCACTGTTAGAAGAGCTACCTCTGGATGATATGCTTCCGGGGGATTCTCTGGCCTTTTTTTGGTATCGCCCACATTTATTTAAATGAATTCATATACTTGTAGAGTCAGGAAACAAACCTAAAATAACGAAACCCACAAACCTTTCAGTTGCTCTTCAAACTCACTAAACAAAGCACAGTCGCACCTCTTTGGTGTCCAAGGCTCAGGACACTATGTTGCCACTGTTTGTAGCCCGGTGTGCCTACCCTCCTTAGGGCTCATCAGTGGACTTCCCATGGCTTCCTGAACACGCCCTGTACCTTATCACTTCAGCGCCTCAGGCAGGACTGTTTCATCTGCCTGGATCACATTCTCTCCCTGGCCGAGTTCTACCATATCCCCAAGTTCTTGAGAAACACCACATTTTCTCTGAAGTTTTTTCTAACTCCGTGCTAACCCAGTCATCCCAATGAGATGTGACTTTTCCTCGTCTTTGACTCCTACAGAAGTGATTTTAGCACTTTTATTCCTCTTGACACAACTTGCCTTTACTTTAGTAGTTAGCTCTGTTTTTAAGTATGTTAGAACAGTCTTCATTTATTTCACGGAGGTACTGGGGATTGAACCCAGGACCCCGTGCATGCTAAGCATGTGCTCTACCAGTGCGCTGTAATTCCCGCCCCCAGGAGTTGGCTCTGTTTCAAGGCCTCTACTAGATTGTAGTAGTTCAGGAAGGGGCTCTATCCTTCTTCTGCTCTTTCTCTAATATTGACACACTGCTTCCCAGAATTAAGCACATAGTAAGTATGTGAGGAACTGAATAAATTATTGTCACAAGGGATTAGTCTCTTGCTTTGGCCACAAGAAAGAGGAAGAGAGAAAGGGAAATGTTTCTCATCTGAGACTCAGCATGAAATTTCTCACAGAAACAATGCTAGAAAAAAAAGACCATTAGTAGTGCGTGCAACAATTATGGACTTAGATTTTCTTCTTTTTGCAGCTACAAATCTATCTGTAATTGGTTACTTAACTTCTGTGGAAACAAAAACATGCTTGGAATTCCCAAGAACCTACTTCCGAAAGAGATTTTGGAGTACAGCCAGTGTGTGAAGTGATACACTTGCAGATAATACATGTGTTCCCTTAGGAAAAACCACCTTTCCTTAGGCCTACCCTAAGCCTCTTCTGAAACAAAATATCGTTAATGACAATAGAAAGGATGAAATGAAAGACAGAGGAAGAAGGGAAGTGGATGTTCCTTTCCCATGCAAGTCTTTACATTAATTAAATTCCTATTTGCCATGGCTATGCTGATAACGCACCTACATACATTCACACACATCCAGGGGTGACAGAGCCCTCCCTATACTTAATGCCAGACAGTGCTTTACTTGGAAATAGCACTGCTCTTTATGAGACATATTGTTAGGGCTGCTCTTTGCCAGATTTGGGTGGGGGAGGGGTGATGGTTAGGACAGCTCTTAATACAGCCTGGGACTCATCTCCATATATGTGTATTTAAGCATTGCTATTTTCAGTCAAGGACTATGCAGTGAGAACTGTGCTAGGTACAGAGGTGAGTCAGACCCTGCCCTCATTGCTCACAGGTTGCCCCAGACTCATGTGCTCTACTGGAGGAAATGAACACTAAGTCAACAAATGAAGGACATAATTACAGGTTATGGTAAGAGCTGTAAAGGAGGCGAGATGGGGAGGCTGTCTAATAATGGGCAAAGGCCTCTCAGATACATTTAAAGCAAGATGGAAAAGGAAAGAAGACCCTAGCCACGCTCACTGCCTGTAAAGAGCCTTCCAGGCAGAGAGAAGGGGAAAGATCCTGAGATGGAAAGAGCCTCAGTCCGTCTGAAGAGCATAAAAGCAGCAGTGGGGCTGGTCATATTTTTCAAACTGTGGGTCAGTGGGTCACGTCTGGAGGTTGTGATGTCACTTTTGTGGGTCACTGTATCAGGGAGTCACAGGCTTTTAGCCTGAGCACTCTTTAATGAACTTGTGCTTCAGTTCTGTGTGTACTAGATTATGTAGAATATGTTTCTTACTGTGGGCAGTGGTGAAATCTGTACTAAGCAAGAAGAGCAGGACCAGATGAGGATGAGGGATGGGGGCACAAGCTAGGACAGACATGGCCTTGCACTGTAGGCCACCATAAAGAACTGGCATTTTGATTCTAAACACTGTAAAGGTACTGAAGGGTTTCAAGTTGGGGAGTGACACGATCTAATTAGACACACTGGTGTTGCCAAAAGATCCCCACAGTGAAATTCAGAAGACCTGACCACCAGCCCAGGTCTAGCCACTAACACCATGGAGTTTGAGCAAATCATTTAATCTCTCTAGATGTTACTTTCTTCATTGTAAAAACAAGAAGGTTGGACCAAGATGACTTTTAAGATCTTATCTGTTGCTGAACTTCTATGACTATATTCTACCTCTTCTGTTGGGCATAAGTAAATGACTATTGGGGAGCACTAGCTCGTTAGGTCAAGTTCTGGGTTATTTCTTAAAATGTTATTAACCATGTAGCTATGAGTGACATTTCTATGGAAAGTAATGTTACAATTCTTTCTGTACTGGAACCGGCTACATTATTAGAAATGAGACCTCTGGGCTAAAAGTGAATCAAGTGCTTTTGCAACTCTCTGGTACAAAGTATGAGATGTGAAGAAAATTGACAGGGAGGGATGAAAAGATTTACTGACCAGGTTATTTGGAACAGATTCCTTTATTTGTTCTAGGTCATCAACTGACATATAATCTTGGGCAGTCTAAAGGTGCCGGGAACCTCTGCTGAGCACTAAAGTCAAGATGTGGAAGCTGAATTCTTTACAGTCACCACAATGACTACTGAGGCAAAATATCCATTGAGAGCCTACTAAACGCTAACCCCATGCTACACAGTTTGATATATACTTTTTCATTTACTCCTCTTAACCTAATTCTTTGAATTTCACAGACATGGAACCAGGGGCTCAGAAAAGACAAGCAAGATATTAAGTGGCAGGGTCAGGGTTTGACTATTTAGTCCCTATTTATAATAAATTATCCTGCATGCTTTTTTGAAATTACTGCACAAGAATTCAATCATCAGTTAAATATTGGACAACTCAAGTATCTGTGACACCTGGGAACAGAATGGTCACTCAACAAAACAATTCTGTACTCACAGTACTTTGCAAAGTACCATGTGGGATGAAAAGATAAGAACTTGTTCCAGCACAGGAGGGCCTACTTCGTGGGTAGCAGGCTGGGTTCTCTGAAGTGGAATTAGGCAAAACAGCCAAGGAATTTGGATCCCCTATTAAGTAGACGTGAAAAGTATTAAGGCAGTTTCCAGGTTCATGTTCTTGATTGTTGCTGGTGAAAGGTCAGCAGGAGAGCTGTGGACTGGACACTGTCACCCGTGCCAAGGGCCTAACAAGTGTCCCTACAAGTTCTATAAACTCGAGATGTGAGAAACACCAATTTCCAACTTACATTAACCCTTAGAAAACAATGGACGCATTACTTGTCCAAGTGGAGCAGTGTGCGTGCCACATTATAGAGCGGAAAACCTTGGAAACGTAGAGGGTACGGTCCCCGTGAGAATCGAAATGGTCCTTAATTCCTTTCACAGAGACACCGGCAAACACCCCAGCAAAGTTGGGGACGCTCATTGCACACCTGCCTCAACACCGAGAATGCGGTACCCACCTGTCACATACTCAGCTTCGAACCTCCGTCGCGTGTCAGAGATGAGCTTGGCTTTATTCTGGGCTTGATACTAGAAGGAAGACACGAAGGGACGCTTAGACACCACGCGCACCACCCCACTTCCCCTCAGCCCAGCCCACCTGCACCTGAGTGCGCGGCCCCCAGGCCTTAGAGGCAGCTTCGGGGTCCGGGCTGGGGGGCCCGGCAGCGGTGCGGTCGGCTCCTCACCTCTGCCATGGTCGCTGTCGTGGACGTGATTGCGCTTGCAGTCGCCACTTCCACAGCTGCGGACCGAGTATCTCACCACCAGCCAAGCCGGCCCGGAGGTAAAGAGGGAAGGGCGGGACGTAGAGGTGGTCGCGTGACAACGGAAGGCGGGCGGAAGCGTCGCCGCGCCGACCAATCCGATGCGGCCGCCTGGTTCCGGAGGCAGGACCAGGCCCTCGGCCTAGCTTCCCAGTCGCTTCCCGTTCGGGCCCCGCCCCCTGACGTCCCCTGCACTGCGGGTCCGCCCCCGCCAGCCGGGGGATCGCGGGCGCTTCCCTCGCGGAGCTCCGCCCGTGCGAGCTCCGCCTGTCCGCCCCCGCCAGCCGGGGGATCGCGGGCGCTTCCCTCGCGGAGCTCCGCCCGTGCGAGCTCCGCCTGCCATTCGCTTTCACAACAATCCCCGGAGGCCACGCCTCTTCAGCCTTCCTTGGCATCCGTCTTCTGGCCAGCTGGGCAGGCTCCGCCTCCTCTGCGCTGGACGCAGCCTCCGGCCTGGGCCTCCCAAGATGCAGCGCGGGAGCGGGAGGTTTGGAGTCGTCGGACGCTTCGCTTGTTTGTGGCGTCGGGGACGTGGCGGCTGTGGTACTCGGGAACCCCACGCGCAGAGGTAGGGCCGGTGGCGGCTTGTTTCCTCAGGTGACTTTCGCCGAGGAGGTGGCGGGGCTGGGTTGGCTCCCCTGGTCCCTTCATTGCGGAAGAGCGGGAAGGAAATGGGCGTCCTGGGGCCTGTGCCCATCATTCTGTGGAATAACTAGATTTCATGCTATGTTCTGGGAATTTTTCGCTTGAACCTTTCTTTACCTCTGCAGCATCTTTCCCACTTGGAGTGTGAAATACTTAGCAATGAGTAGATATTTGAAATCTTTAAAAGTTATATGAAGTTAAAAAGATGTGAAGCGTCTTTCAGTTTATTAATTAAGATAGTTCACAGCTGGGGCGAATTTGCCTCCCAGGAGGCATTTGGCACTGCTTGGGGATATTTTTGGCTGTCACAACTGAAAAACTACAAAGTTGTAAGAAGAAAAGAACAGTTCTCATATTCCCACGGTCCCTAGTCAACCACGATGGACGCTAGCATTTTTTTGTTTCAAACTTTTAAAATATATGTTTACTTTTTTTTAATGAAGAGAAATACACACATTGTGTAAAAAGTATTTGAATACATCTTCGAAGTAATAACATTTCAGATATAGCTAAAGTCTGTGACTCCACTCCCCTACCCTTATACCCTTCCTCTTCTCCAGAATAAACAGTCATTGGAATTTGGCAAGAATCTTTGCATTTTTTATTTTGGACCAGGCTGCCTGGGTTTGAAACCTGGCTCTGTCGCTTACTATCTGTAGGCCTTAGAGAAGATCCTTAAACTCCATGCTTCAGTTTCCTCATGGAAATGGGTTAATAAGGGTATCATGAAAAATGAATAAGTTAGTGCAAAATGCTTAGAACAGTGCCTGGCACAGAGAAAGCAGTCCGAGAATGTAGCCATTGAAGGTAAACAAAATATATAATGCTGTTTCATGTGTTTTGATTTTGATACATAATGTACTACAGTATACATTTTTCTGCAACTTATTTTTTTCACTCGATTTTTGAACTCTAGACACAATGTTATCTATCTAATTCATTCCTTTTAACTATAAGATGATATTCCATCTGTATTTGTTCATTCCTCTATTGGTGGTCATCAAAGTTTTTACTTTTTATTTAATATTACAAATAACAGCACAGTGAACACTGTAGAGCAATGTCCTTGTGCGTTATTATGTAGGATTATTTCTCTGGGTTTGTATCTAGAAATGAAATTCCTGAATAGAAAAACAAAAAAAATTTTTTAAACAAAATGAAATAAAAAAAACCTGGGTGTATGCATTTCCATTTATGCCAAATTGCCTTCCAAAATCTCCCTTTAATTTAATTAAGTATTCATAATTATTTCCTATTGATGGCTCTGCCTCCAGTCTCACTTCACTCCCCCTGTCACAGGATCTTTATTATTTAGAAGTACAATCTTGTGATTTCTATTTTTGAAATCTTTCAGTGGTCTATCATTGCTTAGAGAAAGAAGTGCTTAGTATAGCATAGAGAGCCTTTAATTTAATCTTTTTAAATTCTCTTAGTAGATCACCATTCCCCCACATTCTTCTACACTTCAGGTACCCTAAGCTTTTTTGGGAAAGGAAAAAGGGAGATTGATTCTGGGTAGGCCCCAGCAGATGACTTCTAGTTATAAAGGTAGAAAAAGTTTTAACAGTGGACCCACTCTGTAGCCAAGTTAATTTACTTAGGTAAACAGTGTCCTATATGTTGCAAAAATGACATCTATGAGTATTATGCTCATGAGATTATGTTTAATATTATTAGGTGAATTTTTTAGTTAGATATATTTTTTAATTAAAAATTTTTTTATTGGTGTGTAGTCAGTTACAATGAGTCAATTTCTGGTGTACAACATAATGTCGCAGTTATACATATATATACATACATTCATTTAGTTAAGTGTCTTAATTCTACCTTTATTCCAAAGATAGAATTCCAAAGACACTGTCCATTGGTTGCAATCAATATGGTTTCTTAGAGAGTTTTTTAGATTTCATCTGCAGATGATATAGTGCTCTTTTAGGATCTTCCTGAACTACACCTGTAGTTTATTTAGAGTTCTGAAATTTATAATGCCTAATGAATTTACTAGCATTTAATGGAACATTGTTTATTTGGTAGGAGGCTGTGAGGGAAGGTTGGATAATGGTGATAATTTGTTGCCAAACTATTATATTTAGATTATCATGTATTGTTTTTCTAGTATACTCTCACGTCTTTTTTCATTTTATGTGTAAAATATAAAGTCAACTTTGATGTGTGGTAATAAAAAACAGGAAAAGCTCAAATTAACTACATAGTATTTTATAAATAATCTGCATCGAAATCTCTCTCCCATCCCCCTCCAGCTCTGCAACAGAAGGTAAAACTGGTTTGAGTTACCTGTTACTTCAGCAGCCACTGTTGTAAGAGTACTAAGTAAAAAGTCACATGACTAGTAGGCTGGAATCCTAAGTCTGGTGTCCTGATTTGATTAATCAGAGCTTGTTAATATTGGTTTAAGAACTTCTAAACTGGAACTTAGTTTCACTTGTTTCCAGATTATTTCTATCTGAAAAAAGAAAATTACCACTTACTTCACAGGCTTAAAGGTTTTTCTTACGAACATATGCTAAGAACTTTTACTTTTAAAATAGATGTTGCATCAGTATAAAATAAAACATATACACAGATATGTGAATTCAGTAAGCCTTGAGATTACAGAAAGTTTGAGGAAAAAATTTATATATTAA